CTTTTCAGTATCGCACTGCTTGACCACAGCGCGAGGGAAGCCCCAGACACAAAACCCCCTTTGACCAAGTGGTCCATCAATCCGTAATGAAAGATCACTGGCTTTCCTGCCAATCCTCCACCGGATTGACAGGCCTCGACACGAGCGTAAGTTCTCTGAGTTTTAGCCGAAAGACATATAGCAGAATGGGGGCATGGATAATGTCTACCATTGACCTCTGACCTACCCTACGACGCAAGCAAGCACAAACTGAGACTTGACATTCTCATCCGCCTTTCCAACTATCGGATTAGGACAGTAGGCATTAGTCGGATAAGAACGACACATCCATGACCGTAAGGATAACACTTAACGTTTCTTTCTATTTAATATGTATATATTAATTAGAAAAAACATATTTTTTACAATCAGCATCGTCATTTCTCGGAGATGGTGACCTCGGAGTCGATCGTATTGGGCGCGCTCACGTGCGCCACCTCGGATCGGGTTTGGTCTGCAGCAAAGCTGAGAGCTATCAGACTTGTAAAGACCGATCTTGCAGAAGTAGATTAGTGTCTTTCTCGAGGTGGACGGCCCCCTGATCGTTCTGTGTCGCTGATGGGCGACATCTCAACATTTCCTCTCCGAAGTGTGGTCCTCGTCTCCGTGAAGGAACTGGTCAAACCCGTGTTGGGTTCGGTAGGCAACCCGTAGTCGTTCTCGGACCAGATGGCGTCCGCAAAGGCGCCACCAATGCCACCAGTACTAGTACCTATGGATTCAAGGCACTGGACCTGGGAATCTTCGTCTCGGCATGCGCATTCTAAACCACATCGGCCCCTATACTTGTCCTTTTTGGTTTCTGTCACCGGTGAGTGGCCCTTCGGCACCGTCGACGCCCCGAAACATCTGGTGGCACCAATGTTCTCCGTTGCAGTTGAAGGAGCCTTTTCAGACTCCGGCTCAACCTCGTCGGGACCCTTAAAACGATGGGGACTTAGTGGTTCTCAGGTTTGCAATGGATAGAAAACTGGAAGGTGATTGCCTAGAAGCAGCAATTAACGCTATTTGCATTGATGCGGATAACTGGAAGGCCACTAGCCCTATCGTATCGTTCCCTTCTCAGCTATTGACAATTTCAATAATTGAAGAAAGAGTTGCATGGCTGGAAGAGCTAGGCACAATCAAGAACGCTACGGACCTGGTCGTGGGTGCGCTACTAGCCGACGGGAAGCACTGGTGCACACTTGCATCAATCTTCGGACGTGGACATACACGGTAATGGATCCAAGAAGTAACGTCAATACTATTGAGGCCGCAACTCATATTTTTAAGGCTATATTTTATCCACAGCTACAGCAGAAAAGAGATGAGGCGAGTTGTTGCGCGAGAGAATCAGCAGATGGGCGGTTCGATCTGCGGTGTTTGGGTCCTGGCTTTATTGAAAGCTATATCTTTCAAGCATAGGAGGCTCCCAACGACTCGGATTACCTCCGCTACAGATATTTGGTGAAGCCCTTGCTTGCTAGTTCTCTTAGTTAAACGAATTCATAAAACAACGTGTTAACCTAACCAACAACTTTTAACAGGCGATTTCAAGTTGCAGGGACCTTCAGCCAAGTAAGACTACAGCTCTTCTTAAGCGTCAAATATCTACCGCAATGTAACATAACACTTCTCCGAGCAACGCAATGTTGTTTTTCAGCAGAGTCCAAGATATTCTGAACATCTCTGTGTGCCATCCGATCTCAAGCCACAAACTAAAGGCTCCAGTTTTTGTATGAATAGTCTCTGACTACCAAAATACCTTCTTTTCTGATGTACACGTTTGGTGACCACATCGATTCCGAACCAGGAATAAATATTGCAATTTAACAAATTATTATTTGGGTTTACAACAAAAAGTCTTCATGACTGACCTGATACGATTCGGAAATCGTCGATTCCAGTACAATAAAAATTTGAGCCAATGAGCGGGGGTAATGAATATATAAAAAGAACTTTGAGCAATTGTTTAAAATAAGAGTGAAATCGGATACCAAACTAACAGGGTATACGCAAACAAATATGATCCTAAACTGTCATAGTGCAAGTGGCTGTTGTATGGCTTGAGGGTTTTGAACGCCGGTGGTATGATTTTTTTCTCCCAGAGCCAGATTAAGACATCTTCGAAGATTCTGATCTCTACAGATTTTAAACCTCACAAAAGAACACCTTGTTGATGGGCAGCTTAAGCTATACAGCGGACTTGTTCAAATAAAAGACCCTCCCAAAGAAAGTCCTCTTCTCCTAAATGCAGATGTTTTTATGATCATTGTAAATAAAATTACCTAAATCATTTTCCTGACTTTTGAGAATATCAAAATGTTTTAAAAAAATTGTCCTCGACTATTCACAGTCAATAAAGCCTGGGCTATAAGTGGGCTCGAAAATCATTTATAGAAAAGAGTACGACCTCGCCTTATTGGTCGGGTGATTCAGATAACATCTATCCCAATCAGAACGGGAAAAATTAATGCGTACCTAAAATCGTCCTATTCCTAATTAATTGGCCTAAACATATTGTGGATGTTACACACGTTTAGGTCAGCGTTAAACCAGTAATATTAGGACTGGCCATATTACAAAAGAGAGAAATAGTACTGACACACAAAAAAAACTAGTTGTTTCACACAGAAGGATGGGCGACGTGGATGACCATAGCCGCGCTATGAGGCCTTAGAGAGGCGCCATGACAACCGGAGCGCAGCGGAGGTCTGTCAGGGCCGTGGCGGGCAAGGATCCCGCGCGGATTAGATTGTAAGTTCTTGTTTCTGAACCTACTCCGGCCTACGCGCCGTCCGAGCGAAGCGAAGTTGGCGGTGCAACGCCGCGCAAGTGTGGAGCGTAGCTACTACCTGTGAGACT